CGGGGGAGGGGAGGAGCGGGCGGCGGAGGGGCGGAGGGCGAGGAGCGCGTGCAGGCAGGCGCGCCACAGGCTCCGTGGAGGGAGGCGCTCGTGTGTGAGGAAGCGGCCGACCTATTGTTATCACAGGGCTACCTTGTTGCTGCCGGAGGCTGTTCATACGGCGCTCGTGCGTCAGGGAGCGTCCGACCTCGTCCCGCCCCTCCTCCTCCTCGCCGCAGCGCGCCGCCGCCGCCAGCGCCGTGAGGAGGAGCGCGTCGTCGGCCGCGATGGCGTCGGCGAGGGCGGGCTCGTCCAGCGCGTGGGCGAGTGTGCGGAAGGGGGAGGCGGAGACTGGAAGCGCCTCGGCCCGCGGCGCGAGGGGGTCGTCGTGGTCGTCCGTCGCCGCCGCAGCCGCCGCGGGCAGCGGCGGCGCCTCGCAGGTGAAGAGCTGCCTCGCTGCGCCAAGAAGAAGCGGCACCGCCGGCGGCGGCAGCGGCAGGTGCGAGCCCGTCGCGTGCTGCGTCGGAGCGCCAAACAGCCAGAGGAAGACGCGGCGCGAGAGGGCCCTACCGCACCACCCACGGGACTGAACCCACACACTGGATTCGAGACTCTGGAGGTATGGTACTAGGCGTGACCACACCACTCCCGCAGCGGCAGCAGCGTGAGCGCGACGCGCAGCAGCGTCGTGTAGTCGCCGTGCGAGAAGAGCTGCTCGCCGCTGCGGGAGTGGTGTGGTCACGCCTAAGACCATACCTCCAGAGTCTCGAATCCAGTGTGTGGGTTCGGTCCCGTGGGTGGTGCGGTAGGGCCCTCTCGCGCCGCGTCTTCCTCTGGCTGTTTGGCGCTCCGACGCAGCAGGCGACGGGCTCGCACCTGCCCATGCCGCCGCCGGCGGTGCCGCGCTCCCCCTGCGGCAGCTCGGCGCGCCTCGTGCGCGGCAGAGGGAAGTGGTGCACGAGCAGCTCGAGCGCAGTTCGGCGAACCAGCGTGTCGCCTTGCTGCAGCGCGACCACCAGCGAGCGCAGCACGCCGCCGTGCGAGTCGGGGCAGAAGGCGGCCCGCGAGACGGAGAGGCGCCCGCCGTCGTCGCCTGCGGCCGGCGCGGCGCCGACGGGGAAGCGCATCGCGAGGTAGTGAAGCGCCTGCAGCCGCACCGAGGCGTTGCGCAGCAGGCAGCCCCAGACGGCTGACATGAAGGCGCCGATGGGGGCGTCGCGGGCGAGCTGGTCGAGCTGCCGCACGGCGCGGGCGTGGTACTCGGAGCCGACGTCCTCCATCGCGGTGAGGAGGGCGAGGACGAGGCCGGGCAGGCAGGGCACCACCCCGGCGCCGAGGGTGACAAAGTGGCGCTCGAACAGGTCGAGCAGGACGGGCTTGACCTGGTACGACGCGTGCCGGTAGAGGGTGAAGATGCCCTCGGTGTAGAAGGCGAGGTCGCGCGCGAGCCGCGCGGCGCCGATGCGCGAGAAGATGAGCTCGTACGTCTGCAGCGTCGTCAGGTGCACGCCCGAAGGCAGCGACGAGTTGAGGCACTGGAAGAGCCGCTTGGCGACGGCAATCTTGTCGGGTATGACTGGCAGCTGCGCGTACTTGGTGAGGATGCGCTGCATGCGCTGCAGGTAGCGGATGAGGTCGGCCCACTCCTGAGCGTACACAAACTGCGCCAGCGCACTGTCCATCTCGTCGCGAAAGTGGCGGAACTTGGCGTCTCTCCAGTGCAGCGCGTCCTGCTCCGCCAGCGACTGCGGCAGCACCGACGACGCGCCGCCGCCGGCGGAGCGCATGGCGTGGAGCCTCGAGCTGGCGCGAAGAGAAGGGAGCGAAAACGGTCGGCGATATAAAACGGTCGGCGAAGTTCGCGGCGACGACCAGCGCGGCGGCCGAGGCCAAATCACGGCCAGTTTGATTTCTTATTTTTCTGAGAGCGCCTTCGTTGTTAATAGTACAAACCCAATGGTCCTCTGCGAGCGGTCCTTCGTCGCAGTCGCGCACACGCACACGCCACGCCGCACCGCGCGCCCGCCCACCGCCCCGCCCAGGCGGGAAAGAGATGGGGAGATGGGACATATTTTTCTTCAAAAAATCTGTCGTGTTCATCTTTCTACATACATACATCTCTAAAACTTGTGTGTAACGAAGGCTCGTCAAAAGGAAAAGCTCGCTTCGGCGTTCGGCGGCACCTTGGCAGCCTGTGTCGTGAGGCGCTCTTCCTCCTTTCAGGTGTACCGAATAATGGCAGCTCAATTCCAGGAAGGGGATCGCGTCATCATCGCCGGCGTCACGAAGCGGCCCGAGCTGAATGGCGTCGCTGTCACCGTCACGGGAGTGGCAGCGAGTGCCGGTCGCTTCAACGTGCAGTGTGCCGACGGATACGTCTTTTCTTTGAAGCGGGAGAACCTCCGGCACGAATGGGACTTCTGAGACGTCTGAGTCTGCCTCCGAGCCAGCAAATGTGGTGGCCGCGCTGCGAGTCCTCGATTTGCCTCAAGACTTGATCGCGAAAATCTTTGCGCGTCTACCAACAGCAAGTCTGTTCCCCTTTCGGCAAACTTCCAAATCGCAAGGACAGCTGTCAGTTCTATCTTCGAACCAATCGCGGAACGAGCGCACGCGAGAGCTTTCGCGCGGAGAATGAGCGGGCGCAAGGCTTTTATCGAGATCCTCAAAAAACATCGATTGACCATCGCTGACCTGCGAGCGATGAACACGTTCCAATTTAATGGCGCAAGGTTTTATGAGCTTTTAAATCAAGAGTGGTGGGCCCCAGGCCAGGCCTTCGCTTGGTTCTTGAAAACCTACAAGAATGGGGTTCTGAAAAGACTCGATTTCAACCACATCAAGATTAGCGACGAGGGTGCCAAGGCGCTAGCATCCGCTCTTAATGTCAACGAGACGCTCACCGACCTTAATCTTGACGGCAGCTGGCGACCACACCCAAGCCTTGGCCATTCCAGGGATGGGGCCCTCAGCATTATGCGTGTCGAGCGGCATCGCAACAAGCTCACCTCGCTCGGTTTGATAAACTGCGACATCGGCCCGTCACGGGCCGATGCCGCAGAGATTGCCGACTTCGTGTCGGTCAGCGAGGTGCTGGAAACTCTCTCTCTCACGGACAACTTCATCGGCAACGATGGCGCCGTCGCGATCGCCGAGGCGCTCAAGGTCAATAGGGTGCTCACCACCCTAAACCTCGAGAACAACGGCATCTGCAGCGAGGGCGCCGCCGCCCTCGGCAAGGCGCTCGAGGTGAACGGGAAGCTGAAAAGCCTCAGCCTCAGCTTGAACGGCATCCGCGACGCGGGCGCCGCTGCGATCGCCGAGGCGCTGCGCTTCAACGGGGTGTTGACCGCCCTCAACATCAACTGTAACAAGATCGGCGACAGGGGTGCCAAGGCGCTCGCCTCCGCTCTGCACGTCAACGGGATGCTGAAAACACTCGACCTCGGCAGCAACAACATCGGCGGCGAGGGCGCCGTCGCGATCGCCGATGCCCTTCAAAACAACGCGGTGCTGACCACTCTTGACTTGTCGGGCGACCCATACACCAGCGGCATCGGCCCCGAGGGTGCCAGCGCGATCGCAGAGGCCCTTAAGGTCAACGGGGTGCTTACCACCCTCAACCTCTCGGAGAACTACATCAGCACCTCCCTCAACCTCTCGGAGAACTACATCAGGGACGAGGGTGCACGCGCCGTTGCGCTGCTGGCCTCCGCTCTTCGCGTCAACGAGGGGCTGAAAATACTCCATATCAGAGACTGCGGGTACTCCTTTTGCAAGGCGATTCGAGCTGCGGTACAAGGGCGGGTAGGGTTCAAGCTTGAGGAATGACGCACACATTGAGGTCGTCCTAAATGAGGTCAAGCGGCGGCGGGGTCGGGGCGTGGGCCGTGGTGGACAGGTAAGGTAAGGTAAGGTAAACTTCTCCACACACACGAGGTGGTGGGGCAAGGGGGGGCAACCCTCGCATCTCCACGTCTAACGACAGGAGCCCCACGGCATTTAAAGTGCAAGGCCCGGTGCGCGTGGGCGAGCGGCGTGTGTGTCTGTGTGTGTGTGTGTGTGTGTGTGTGTCTGTGTGTGTGTGTGTGTGTCACGTCACTGCATCCTCTGCCGGTTCCTCCCGTCGCCTCTTCTTTGTTCGAATGTTTTTCAATCCATCCTTCACGAAGCCCTCCCATGTAGCTAGCGTTCTTTGCGAATGTCTCGAAATGGCCAGCAGGCGCTGTCTGCTCGCGGCCTGTGCGGGCCGCTCGTCCTCCTCGCCCTTCTTTCGTCCTCCCGTCCCTCCCCTCCACCATGGCCTCCTCGGCACTTCTTTCTCCATCCGCCTCGCCCTGCCTTTTCGTATCGTGCCGTTCGCCCTCCATTCGGTGACCTCCATGGCTGTCCGTCCCCTTTTGGGTGGCGCTCTCGATACCGTTGCGTCAACCTCGACATCGCTGTCGCCCTCCCCGTCCCCGTCGTCGCCCGTGCCTCGGTTCGCGTCATTGGTAGCGTTTCCGTTGCCCCCTCGTGCTCCGCCGTCGCCCTCTCTGCTCGGGCCGTTCGCGATTTTGCTCCTCCTGCGTGTCGCCCCTCCGTCTCCCCCCCTGCCTTCGTCGTCATCGTCGCTGTCGCGAAAGCCCTCCGGTCCCTCGATTCCCTCGTCTATCCCCTCCGCTGCGTCGTCCCAGTTTATATCCTCATCCTCTGTGCGCCTTTTCGTTCCCTCCCCTTCTCCATCGTTGTCGCCTCCGTCGACTGCGGCGCTGCCTCTTCCCTTGCCTCCGTCCTCCTCGTCTCGCCTGCCATCGTCCCGTGTCTCCTCGTCCTCGCCATCGTCTTGGCCGTTGTCTACCTGTTCATCGTGTCCCTTGCTGCTGGTGGCATCGCCGTTGGCTTCCTCTCTCCCCCTTTCCTCCCTGCCCCTCTCGCTGTCTGGTGCTAATGGACCCCCTTCCTCTCCCTCGCCACCGTCACCGTCACCATCCCCGTCGCCACCGCCCTCCATGCCCGCCGCCCTTTGTTTCACACTCGTCTCTGCCATGTCCGCCGTCGCCGCCGTCCTGTCCGCTGCGCTCTGTGCTCCGTGGTACAGTCGCTTATTGTTGCTCAGGATTAGCTCACGCACCAGGACAGCCTCCGGCTCGTTATTTTGGCTTGCCGATATGCATCCAAAGTTCCACGCTAGCTCCTCCTTCGTCACGTCTATCTCTTTGCAGTATCTCGCGAATGCCGTCCGTGCTTGCTGGGGTGTTATTGCGTTCGGATTCGCCCTCGTCCCCGCCCTGTATCCCATCTCCTTGCGGTGGCTCTTGTATGAGTCCCCATATGACCATGTGATTTCTTTGCCTCCCTTGACTCCTCTCTCTACAAACAGGACCATCACCTGCGCAGCTGCCTTGCCTAATTGTACCTCCTCGTAGCGTACGAAGTGCGTCGCCCTCGTGCCTCGTTTCGGCTCATTCGATGCTGCAGGCCAGTCGAAGTTACACCGCGCCGCGACGCTGTCAAAGTCGTCCCGCCGCTCTCGTCGTCACTTCCATCCACGATCCAGCTGCGTCCCCCCTGCGTGGTGGACACCGCCGATCCTCCGGGTGAGGCGTGTTTCCTTGTTCGTTGGACCATATCGCCCTCTATTACTCGGGATATTACTTGTGCCGACACATGCGAGCCGTGTGTCTAACATCTCGATATATTTCTCAACGAAACCAACGCCGTCATCAGAGTTCAGACTGTGTACACTCGCGGCACTCGCGCACACTTCTCGAGTTACGGCGTACAGATAGAAGACCAAACAACGTGAACAACATAGGGCGCAAACCCTGCCGCCAATGCGCGTCGAGATAGGTGACACGGACGCGCCACGCTCTTGGCGACGAGTTTGGCGAGCCAGCGGCGCGCCGGCGACGCGGCGGCGCGCAGCGGCGGCGCGAGACAGCGCGCGGCGTCACTTTTTCCACTGGTTGCCGTTGTCGAGCTCGCCGCCGAGCTTCTTGGGCAGGCTGCTCGGCGCGACGAACGAGTGGAGCTCGCCCGCATAGTCCTTGCCGAGCAGCATGGTCTTGTCCCGCGACCGCTTCGGCACGAGCGCGGCGACGATCGGGCCTGGTGAGGTCGAGCCGAGATGTGGCGGAGATATAGAGCCGGGACCAGCCGGGGTCAGCGCCGCAGCGGAGCGCCTCCTCTCGGCAGAGAGACAGGGAGGATCGGCTGCCTCTCCTCTCGCGCGCACGCCTCGGCGACAATCTCGGCGACAATCTCCCCTCCACCTCGGCTCCACCTCGGCTGGCATCTCGGCTCCAAGCAAGCGCGCCGGCGATCGACGCGGCGGGCGCGTTGATCAGGCAATTCTTGTACGTGGTGGTCGGGTACGCGTCTCGCACCTCCTTGCCCGCCGCCTTGACCATCCCCTCCCCCTTCTTGACGTCGGAGGAGCGGAACGGGTTGGGCGTGAGCGAGACGCCGGCCAAGTCGAGCACGCGGAACATGAGCACGAGCCGGTCCTACAGGGCAGCGTCCGAGAAGATTCCGAGAAGGTTCCGAGAAGGTTCCGAGAGGCCGTCTCGAAGAGGAGCCGGTCCTACAGGGTAGTTTCCGGGAACTAGCTCGAGGGGCGGGACCCTCACACCGAGGGGAAGCATTTGGCATCGCGTTCGTAAAGGCTCCGGAGGGTGCGTGGTGCGTGGAATCAACATGCTGGCGTGTCACATGGACATGGACATGGACATGGACATGGACATGGAGTTCAAGGAGGCGGTCCAGGACGGAGCAAGTGTTGTGGAAGTTGTATTGTGCAAGTTATCCGCCGGCGGGTGGAGTGGTAGCAGTGGTAATAGTAGCAGCAGCGGCCGCAGCATTCACCTACCGACAGCGTGTCGCGGACAGGTCACGCACGTGCCCTGCACATGCGGTGCGGCGGCGGCACGAGCCGGTCCTGCCGCGTCGAGAGCTCGTCGAGGACCAGCTGAAGCAGCTCCTAGAAGGTTCCGAGAAGGTTCCGAGAAGGTTCCGAGAAGGTTCCGAGAGCTCGTCGAGGACCAGCTGAAGAGCTCCTGCGAGAGGTCGAGGCGAGAGAGGTGAGGAGAGTGCAGACGCGATGCGGGCCCGCGGCTGTGAGTCTGCGTGAGCGGCAGCCTCGCCTCCTCCTCTCCTCTCCTCTCCTCTCCTCGCCTCGCCTCGCCTCGCCTCGCCTCGCCTCTCGTCTCCACTCCTCTCGTCTCGTCTCGTCTCCTCTCTCCTGCGTCCGCAGCTCCGACGCGAGGAAAGCGTCGGCGCCGAGCGCGCAGACCGCCGCCGCGTCGGCCGACGCCGGCACCTCGATGAAGAGCAGGTTGCCGGCGCGGTCGAGGAGCAGCTCGCCCCCGCCGCCCGCCGACTTGGTGAAGAAGGTGCGCGGCCGCGCCGCAAAGACGGCCGCGTCTTGCTCGTTCAGCAGCGGCTTCTCGAGCGATGTCGCGCCGGCGGTGAAGAAGGAGGGGTTGGCGGCGCGCAGGTCCTTCCTCGTCGCGTCCGTGCCGTTCCGCTTCCTCCACCGCAGCGCCTCGACGTACATGCTCGCCGCATCACCGCCCTTGAAGGCTGTCGCGACGAGGAAGCGCCAGAGCCTACGTGGCGGCTGCGCCAAACCTCGGGGGAGGGAGGGCGGGCATGTGCAGAGTGTGTGGAGCACCGCGCGAGTACGCCGGGAGGAGAGCACAGTGAAACGGTCGGATACAGTGAATCCGTGCCCTCTCGAGCGCTGGCTGGAGCACAACGATCCCGCGTTCCGCTTCTAGGCGCCAGAGCCGGAGGTCGGACGCCATCTCGACTGTTGGCGCGAGAGAGGGGTCGGCGAGGACGGCCGCATCGCGCCGCGAGCGCATGTACGCCAGCGCCCTCTCGTGCAGCTCCGAGCCGCACCACTCGGACGGAGCGAGCGGAGTGCGCAGAACCTCGACCTCTGCGTCGGTGAAGGCCGGCTCGGCGACGGGCTTGGCCGGCGCCGCGACCGGCGCCGGCGCCACAGCGGGAGGCGAAGGAGCGGGTGCGGACGCGGCAGCGGGAGGCGGCGGATGGGGGGGCTGCGGAGGCGGCTGTGGAGCGTTCGCAGGCGCGGCTGCCGCGGGAGCTGCAGCCATCTTCTCGGCGCTTTGCTTGGCGCTCGCCGCTCGCAGCCGCAGCACCTCTTCGTAGGTCGGCCGCGGGCTCATCGGCTGTGGGGTTAGGCTGGCCATTGTGGCAGGAGGAAGAGGCGCCTCAAGACACAGGCGTGCCAAGGTGCCGCCCTCTTCGGGGAGAAAAAAAATTTTTGGGATGAAGACGCAAATCATCGGGCGGTGGCGCGGCGCGGCGGCGGGCGGCGCGAGGCGGCGGCGCGGCGAGGCAGCGGGCGACGCAGGGCGGGGAGGCGCGGCGGCGGGTGGGGTAATTACTTATTACTTAATTGATAATCAATTATTAATCATCGGGCGGCGGCGCGGCGCGGCGGCGGGCGACGCAGGGCGGGGCGGCGCGGCCATCAGCAGACGCCCGGGCCTTTGGTCATTGGAGCTCGGCAATGGTGGCCCTCGACTCAAGGGGCTGCCTTCCACCCATAGCTGCTCAGGCCGGGGGAGGGGGAGAGGCTTAGGGTGCCCCTAGCCTAGGCTTAAAAGGGTGGGCCCTGGGGCGCCTGCGGCTTAAACGGCTTAAAACCTGCCTAGGCAGGTTTTAAGAGCTGCTGGGCCGCCGATTCCTTAAACGGTCTTAAACGCTTAAACGGTGCGGGAGAGCTCCCGAGGTCGATGGTCCGGGAGGCTCCCCGGTAGACGCCGGAGGCCGGGAAGCTGGCTACAGTCAGCTGGCACGCGTCCCCTATGCGAGTATGGCTCCTGCCAGTGCACCAGCCTTTTGTGCCTAATAACGGCAGTCTTGGAGAAAACGGCGCGGAACCCAGCGACGCATGCCGGCGAGGCCGATTTTCTTAAACGGTAAGGAAGCCGTCGCCTGCGCCTTGTCTGTCGTGTGAATCGTGCGTGTGCGAGGGATTTTTGTTGTAAAATTCTTAAACGGTCTTAAAAGGCTAAAGAGGGACCCGCCGTGCCTGCAATCTCTTAAATGACAATTTGAGCCCCCCAAACCTCCTCATTTCTTAAAAGGTCTTAAAACAATCCGGCCCTCAGAACCCCCTAGAGTAGGGGTACCCTAAGCGTCGCTCTAAGGCGTAAGGCGTACGTCCTCTGGGCCGGCGCGGGGCCCCCCGGAGGCACCGTGCGCCGCGCCGCAGTGCGGAAACGGGGCTCCGGCGCTCATACTCGCTCATAGGGGAGGCCAGAGCTAGGCTCCGACGAATAAGACGCAAGAGCGACCGAGTCAGCGATTCGACCATGAAAGAAATCAGCGACAAAGTAGAACCCATGGGGACGATTGACTACTACGGCAGACTACGACTAAGCAGGCGAGTGAATGACGAACTAAGGAGAGTGGGACTCGACCACCTCACCACAGAAGAGGCGACGGCTCGCGCGCGGGAGATCAAGTTTGTCAAGGCATCACAAGCTAGCGCATCGAATACCTAAAGACTTAAAGGCATCACACTACAAGGAACGCGGCTGAGCTGACCCCCTGTAGGGGGCGCCTCGGTGAACCAGGGACTAGGATCTCGCGCAGACGACACAGGGCGTGCTGCGCCCCGCGCGATCCCTGGCGCAGAGGAGGCTGAGCCGCCGAACTTAGGATGCCTGCAAAGGCTGGCGAAAGCCGGCGACCCACGCCCACAACTCATATACACTACAACAAGCCATTATGCCCCAACAGGCCCCACCACCCCACCCCTAGGCAATGTAGCGCACATGTCTAGTCCGGAGAGGACAGGGGGGGGGGAGGGGGGGTAGGGGATAGCACTGTGCCGAGTATTTTGGATTAAAGCAATTTTTTTTTTCGAGCCCTTGAGAATCGGGTCTCTGTGCTGCTTGAGAACGAAAGGGAATCTTGCCCAGTTGGAATCTCACGTGCTTCCTCCAGCAGCCTCCAGCTCTCCTCCACTCTCACTCTCCTGGTAGGTAGAGAGGTGAAAGAAAGCCTCCGCCGCCTCCACCGCGACAACACGTTTCGACGCCTCTGCCAGAGCGTGGTCTAACTTGGCCAGCACCGCCTCAAACATTTGCGCCGCCACCAGCGAGACCGGAGCCGCAGCCGCAGCCAGCGCGCCGCCGCGCCGCGCCCCGTCTGCCGCAAGGCCTTCCTTGGCCATTCGGCTGACGAGCAGCGCGCGCAAAGCATTGCAATCGTCGAGCGCATCGCGGGATGTCGCCGCCACCGCGCGAGCCTCGAGCGCCCCTGCTGCCTTCACCATCTTCGCCTGGTTGTTCCCGCGATCGTCGATCCCCAGGGTTGAGTAGAGGGACTGAAAGCCCCGGTGCTGGGTGAAGAAGCGCGCCTCTTCGATCTGCAAGGGCCAGCCCTCGATCGTGAAGACATGCGGAGTCAGCTTGTACTGGTTAAGGGCGAGCTGCGCTGCACCCTCCGTGTGGAAAGACACGTTGGCGTTGCCTGTGGGGGCAGGATGGAGGGTGAGAGCAGGGATGACATCGGTGACAGTGCTGCGATGGTTGCCGTTCTTCCGAATTTTGACGTACACGACCTCCCCGAACTGAGAGAAGAAGGAGCGCAGCTTGCTCGCTTTGTGGATTGACGAGTGCACCTGCACGTATAGTGGCAGAGTCTCAGCAATACATGCTATGTCAGTGGCGATGGAAGTTCGCACCGAACGAACAAAGACGCCCCTCGATTTGTCGACGCCGTCGCGGCTGTCGCTGCAGGACGAGCTCATGATGTGTCTCTCCCTGGACCGAGTGACTCCGAGAAGTCAATGCGCGATATCAACTTTGAGAATTCTTAAACGGTCCCTCGGGCCAGTTGGGGGGGGCAATGTTCTTCACCTTTCTACCTACCTACCTACTGGGGGCAAACCCTGCCCGGCCCCTAGGACCCCAGGTAAGGCCCAGGTGTGGCCTAGGGCATCAGAAGGGACCAAGAGGAGTCCAGTCTGAGCCATAGAGCCCATGTCTTTGCTCCCGAAGGTCGCGTTCAAATGCCCGGAACGGACGTTACAGTGGTGTCCGGCCGGCGCGATCACCGAGCTGTGACGCTCAGGGAAGCCCGATGAGGTGCTGGTTTCTTTGCCCAGGGCTGGCCTTCCCCCCAGGCTGGATCAGCTGAGCAAGGTTTCGTGCAGCACGGCCTTCGTTGGGACACGCTCACGAAACGAGTCGTTCGCCAACCACCGGGAGTACCCGAGCCTCACTCGTATCATCAGAGCCGTGTACAATGATGACACCTTTTGCTCTTCCTTCCGAGGCAGCAGCTGCGTGCTGCATTCATGGCTGCCTTGTCCCCAGAAAATGTCTGCAAGGGTTCGTGTGCCGGCGCATTGTTTGTTGAACAATACAACAGAGAAACTTCCTGGAAACTTCCGCACAGACGCAAGAGTTACGTTAGCGTAGCGTAACTTAACCATGGTGTTGACTTTCACTCAGCTAGACTCGAAGCTCTTCAATTGGGTGTTCCCTCGACTTTCATCTGAGATGGCCGCGCCCGAGTTTGGCGAGTTCACTGACGAGCAGTGCGTCGCCTTCTTCACCCGAAAGCTGGACCAGCTCGCTGAATCGCACCCACACCTCCAGCGGGATGAGCTGCTGGCGGCGCGCCCGCTTGTGCGCTGCATGTTGCAGGGCACCAAGCCATCGCTTACGCTTGGCAGTCTGGCGCCAGATGGGCCCGTGTGCACGCTGGACGGCGTCGAGACGACACTCCATGGTGCTGTGCGCGCCGGATCTGGCCCTCGTAAGCTCACGGTCCTCAATTTTGGCTCGTACACCTGACCGCCCTATGTCTCAAAGGGTCCCGCTCTGGTCACCTCGATGCGTCCGTATCTTGATGCCGGCAGCCTGTCGCTCTTCCTGGTCTACATTCGAGAGGCCCACCCGGAGGGCGGCTGGGCGATTCCCGCGGCTGACGGCATCTGCTACCGGCAGCCCAAGACGCTCGCCTCGCGGCTCGCCGTCGCCGCGAAGTTTGCCGAGCACCAGGCGGAGTGGTGTGCGGGCGTGCCGATGTTGGTCGACGACCCGACGACCAACGCGCTCGACATTGCGTACGAGGCGCCACCGGAGCGGCTTGTCGTGCTCGATGAGCAGCTGAACGTCGTCTTCTTTTCGGGGCAGGGGCCGTTCCAGTACTCGGTGCCCAAGCTCGCGGCGTTTGTCAAAGCGCAGCTCGGCGAGTAGCTGTGGGAGAGCTTCGTGGCCGTCGTGTGTCGATCAGGCGAGAGGGTTCGAGGCGTGCGCACACACAGTCACACCCAGAAGCCATTTCGCGCGCTCATCCTTCACTTGCCCGCTGCTGCTGCTGTGACGCCGCGCCCTTCAACGTTTATCTCAAACGCTGGGCAGCAGCTGATTACTGGACCGCAGTAGGAGAGTGGAATAAGGCGATAAGCGAACGGGGAAGTGTCGGACGCCGCGAGCGGCGAGACGGTCGCGCGCGGGGCCGCACCAACACACGAGCCCTGTAGGCCGGTATCTGGATAGTGGAGGGTGTGTGTGTGTGTGACTGCGACAAGGGACCATCCGTTTGTATTATCAACAACGAAGGCGCTAAAAATCGAATTTTACAATGTGAAGAGAGACACCACTCGCACGCCGATAATGCATAATGGTGTCAGCAGCTCTCATCAGCCCTCGCGCAGGACACGTCGTGCGTGCGACCTCTCGCGCTCGCGGCCCGATCGCTTACGACAATCCTTACGACAATCCTTACGACAATCCTTACGCATGGGCCGAGAGTACATCATCGAGCCCAACGTGCGCCGACCGCTCGCCGACTATGTTGGCGCATCAGAGGCGTCTGCGCACCACGGCCTAGGAATTCTACCAACCCATAATAAATAAATAAAAATAAATAAAACGGACACTACCAACCCACGCCCCGGAGTTTCAGAATTCTTTAAAAAGAAAGAAAGAAAACGAGCCGCGCTTTCCTGCCATGTACAAGCTGCGCTCTCGAGTGTTCTCCGTGTCCCTCCTCCTCTCCTCCAACAGCGTCGCTCAAGGCTACTCGCTCGGCGGCAGCCTGCCTCACCGCTTCTCGCGAGGCGTCGCGCTCCGTGGCGGCGCCTCGCCTCGAGCCGCCGCCGCCGGCGCCCAGGAGGCGGCGACGGCGGTGCCGCTGACCTCGGCCTCTCTCGCGGCCTCCGACGCGGCCGCATCGGACTGGACGGGAGACATGATGGTCGTTCCGGTCTGGGAGGCCAAGGAGGGCGAGAGCATCGCCCTCGGAGCCGAGGCGGCGGCGCTGGATGCGGCGCTCTCCGGCGCGGTCGCCGACCTCATCGCTGACAGCGAGTTCAAGGGCAAGGCCGGCTCGTCGGCCGTGGTCTCGCTGCCTCGCGGCGGGAACGTGCGCAAGGTGGCGGTGGTCGGGATGGGCCTCTCGACCGACTTCAAGATCTCCGGCGCCCGGAAATTCGGAGCTACGCTGGCGACACTCGCAACCGAGCAGAAGCCCAAGCAGGCGGCGGCGCTGCTTCCGACCGGCCCGGCGCTCGCGGCGGACACACAGCAGGCCGCCTTCGAGGCCGCCATGCTTGGGCTCTCGCCAGACACGCGCTACAAGTCGGACGCCGACAGCGACGAGAACAAGCCGCCGCCGCTGCAGGCGCTCGCGCTGCTCGGCGCCGACGCGGGCGCGCTCGCGCGCGCGCGGTCCTTCTCGGCGGGCGTGCTGCTGACGCGCGGGCTGGTGGCGTCGCCCGCCAACTACGCGACGCCCACCTCGCTCGCGGCGTGCGCCAAGGAGATCGCCGACCGCTTCGAGGGCATGACCCTGACGGTGCTCGAGCGGGCAGAGTGCGAGGCGCGCGGCATGGGCGCGTACCTCGGCGTCTCGCAGGGCGCGGTCGAGCCGCCCAAGTTCATCCACCTGTGCCTGAGCGCGCCGGGCGGCGGCAAGCCGGCGAAGAAGATTGCCTACGTGGGCAAGGGGCTCACCTTCGACTCGGGCGGCTACAACATCAAGGCGGGCGCACATGCACACACACATGCACACACACATGCACACGCACATGCACACACACACGCACACACGCACACACACACACGCACACACACATGCATACACACACGCACACACACGCACACACACATGCACACGCACATGCACATGCACATGCACACACACACGCACACGCACATGCACATGCACACACACATGCACACGCACATGCACACACACACATCAAGGCGGGGCCGTGAGTGGGGCTCCCCACCGCTGCCCCTCTGACGATTGCACGTATGTCTGCGGTGACGCCTCTCCCTGAGAACGCACACACCGCCTCGTGTGCCATGCCCCCGTGTGTGCTCCGCGAGTGCGCGTGTGCCCCGTCGTACGTGCTGACGCGTGTCACACGCACACACACTGGCCTGACTGGCTGACAACATCAAGGCGGGCGGCGGCTCGATGATCGAGAACCCCACCCCCACGGTACCCGAACCCAGGCCATACCCCCACGGTACCCGAACCCTAGGCGGGCGCCGGCTCGATGATCGAGAAGATGAAGTTCGACATGGGCGGCGCGGGCGCGGTGCTCGGCGCGGCGCGCACGCTCGCCGAGGTGCGGCCGGCCGGCGTCGAGGTCCACTTCATCGTCGCGTCCTGTGAGAACATGGTGAGCGCCGAGGCGATGCGGCCGGGCGCGACGCTTGCGAGACCCCTCGTGTCCCCTCGTGTCGCGAGGCATGCAATCCACTACACCGGGGCCCCCTCTGATTCATTAGGCGACATCCTGACCGCCTCGAACAAGAAGACGATCGAGGTGCTCAACACGGACGCGGAGGGCCGGCTCACGCTCGCCGACGCGCTCGTGTACGCCGAGGCCCTCGGCGAGGTCGACACGATCGTCGACGTCGCCACCCTCACCGGCGCGTGCATTGTGGCGCTCGGCCCCGACTATGCGGGCATGTGGTCGTCCGACGAGGCGCTCAGCAAGGCGCGATCTCGCCCCCCTCTCGCCCGCTCTCGCCTGGTCCCCGCCTATCTCTCGCGTGGCTGTCTCTTTGCCTCGCCTGACCTCGCCTGATTTCGCCTGACCTCGCCTGATCTCGCCTGACCTCGCCTGATCTCGCCTGACCTCGCCTGATCTCGCCTGACCCCCGCCCGTGCTCTCCGCCAGGCGCTGCTCGACGCGGCGGCGTCGCACGGCGAGCTGCTCTGGCAGATGCCGCTCGCGCCCGAGTACCGCGAGCAGATCAACAGCAAGATCGCCGACCTTGCGAACCTCGGCGCGCCGGGCGGCGGCGGCTCGATCACCGCCGCGCTCTTCCTGAACGAGTTTGTCAAGGAGTCGGCGTGGGCGCACCTCGACATCGCCGGCCCCGTCTGGAACGACAAGGCGGGCGGCGCCACCGGCTACGGCGTGCGCACGCTCGCCGCGTATGCCGAGGCGGTGGCCGCGTGAGGCGTGTGCGAGCGCACTCGCTTGACGCTCACGTGTGGACAGCAGTTGCACTCCGCACACGGCGCGGTGATGCCTCTGCAAAAGACCTCTTTTCTTCCCAACTGGTGGATCGAAAAGGGTCATGAATCCCTCTCAGACTCTCAGTCGGCAGAGCCAAACGCCCAGACGCAGATCCCCGAGACCGCGCGCAGAGGCACGTGCGAAAAAATCGAGCGCCGTTCGGTACGTGGCTGGGTTCACAGCCTTGTTCGATTGAGAATTCTTAAGATACAAGCCTCTCTCACAGCACACTGGCACGACAAGGGCGCGGACTGGCGCGGACTGGCACACACACAGGCTCACCACCGGAGCCGCCTAAGCGACTCCGTTAAGAACGGCAATGCACTCCGCACCATGCACAATGCCGCTCTCCCCGCACGCTAGCTCGTTCACCGTCTGCCACGCCACGGCGGTGTGGAGGACGACAGACAAGCGCTGCATCTGCAGCCCGTGCCAGTTCTTGGTGGTCCATGTGACCTCGTCCAGGTGCTGAGCGTGCGAAAGTTTGTTGCTCAGCTGGTTCGCCGCCTCCCTCAGGGTGCTGCGAACCTCCTTTCCAAAGCCTCCGAAAGCCTCAAAATCAAACAAACGTAGATCGCAGTCCTGCTGCCGCGCAAAGGGGTAATCGCCAGGCAGCTCCTTGAGCTTTCCCTTGGGGGCATCCTCCTCCTCCCCCTCCTCCCCCTCCCCCTCGGCCTCCTCCTCCTCCCCCGCCACCGCCGCTGCCGTCGCTCCCGACGGAGACCACTTGCCGCGCCCTTTGACCAACTTGAGCAGCCCGGTCTCCGTGTTGCCAAAACGCACATAGGCCCCCTTCCAGCCGAGCTCTCCGTCGCCGGCCGTGTCCTTGCCCTGGCTCGCAAGCGAGCTCGTGAGCTTCAAATCGGCAACAAGGCGCCTGTGCCCCCTGCCGATGTTTGCCGCCGCCACGTCAGGTTGTTTTGGATTACTGTAACTGAGGTGTGCAGTCGGCTCCATCTCGATGATCATGCCCCACGCCGAGCGGAGGCATTTGATCAAACGTTTGAGTAGAAATTTGTGTCTTGTAGCATGCTTTGACCGAGGGTTAACCATCGCGGCGTCGCCAAAGACGTCGTGTAGCTGGCCGCTGGGTGCCCTCTTGCCTGCCTCCACCGCCTGGCAGGCGACATCAAGGGGGAGCCCAAGGCGGCGCTGGACGGTGACGCGCATCGCCCAGGACTCCATCTTCATATCATCACGCATGGGGATGGCGTTGAGGAAGGCGCCGGCCCCTGGTTGGCTGACGGCGACAAAACGGATCGCCTCTCGCCAGCATTTGTGGTTCTTGCGTCTTCCGACCTTGTTGCCTTTGGAGGGCGCCTTGCGGCCGCCACTGCGAAGCGCCTCGTCGGTAAGCTCCTTGGCAAGGTTGAGCCAGTTAGCGTGGTGCACACCAGAGGTGTACCGCCGCTGCGCCTGGTGCAGGAACTCGTTGGCGGACGAGAACTGGGCGAGGGGAAGCAGCTCCGCAGCCGGCGTCAGCCCGTGCGGATAGAAGCGGAACCTCGGCTCCGCCTTCGCCTCGTTGGTCGCAGTGCCCGGGCTCACCACCTCCCGGCACACGACCTGCGTCCGCCAGCTCCGCTGGCACTTGTCGGTGAGGTCGTGGTTGCTGACGAGCTGCGTGTGCGCCTCTCGCAGCTCGTCGAAACACTCTCCGGGCGCGGTCGAGACGTCGAGATCGGCGAAGGGCCTGTGTAGCTCGCGGATCGGCCGCGTGACGAGAGCCCACGTACCAACCCACGCCGCGCCGCGAATGTCCTCGGCGCTAGTCAGGCCCATGCCGCCCATATTGACTGGCAGGGTTGCCCCAGGGAGACGAAGCGCACTGCGCGCCCAGGTCAAACCCGGACCTGAGTCGCGGGTGGACGCAGCCCTGGCAGCCGCCGCATCGCATGACGCTCTGCCACTCGCCGCCGCCTCGCGGCCCCGCCCGCCGCATCTCACTCTGGTTCCCCACCCGCCGAAGGGCCTCCCGGAGGACAACCACGTCGGCGTCGTCCAGACTGACGCCAAGCACATCGCAGAGCTCCTCCTCGAGAGTGAGAAAGGGCTGGCGAGGAAGCGGGTGGCCAGCGCGGCGGCAGACGTCGCCTCGCAGCAGGTCGCCTCGCAGCTGCTCGCCTCGCTGCTGCTCGCCTCGCTGCTGCTCGCCTCGCTGCTGCTCGCCTCGCTGCTGCTCGCCTCGCTGCTGCTCGCCTCGCTGCTGCTCGCCTCGCTGCTGCTCGCCTCGCTGCTGCTCGCCTCGCGGCGCGCCCGGCGGTCGAGCTGAGGCAGCAGCGCCAGGAGGGGCCTCCAGGTGCTCGCCGCCCCATCGCGGCGGCCGGCCGGCCGAGCTCTGCTGAAGCGTGCACGGGATGCCTTTTGCATCCAGGCGTCGTCCTGCGGAGCGCGGCCCACCGGCCGGTGGCGCGCATGCCGAGCCAGAGTCCTCGCGACCGGTGCCAGCGGCAGCGGTCGCGCGCGGCTGTAGCCGCGTAGGAGCCCTGGGTCGGCCACCGTGGCCACTGCCCAAGGCAGCGGCCACCATGGCAGCGCGCTACGGCGTCTTCGATTGAGAAGAAAATACGTCCACAGCGATTGTAGGAAAACGAAGGGAACACTTGACGGTCGCGGCCTTCCGACTCGCGCCTCCGCCTCACTGGCACTATTGTAGCCCTGGCCGGTGCGCGTGCTCAGTTGAAGTTCCGGAGTAAAAATTCGAACGCGTTCTCTCACGGTGACCAAGAAATGTCCACCTCAGAGGCACCTCCGGAGGCAGGCCGCCGCACGCCGGCGACACAGCTCCAGCTGTCGAACTGACCCGCAGCTCCTCTCAGAGCGGGAACTGTGACGAAAGTTGACTGAGGCGGTTGTCAGGAACCATCATACGGATCACATGGTGGCTCTCTCATGACGGGAGACCGCCCGACCACTCCTGGGTGGCACTGCCACCGGTGTCGCTCGACGTCCTGTCGACAGCGTGCCGACAGCGACACAGACCATGTGGGACGCGTCGAGTATCGACCTCTACTGCTTACCCAGCCTTCGAGTGTATCCTGGCTGTGGCCCCACACCCACTGGTGTCCATCTCAGAGACCGCAGGAGGTCATGAGGGTCGATGGGAGTGCCAACCCCACAATGCCTAAAAACCCAGCCCAGTACTAGTACGCCTCACACGAACCCTGCACAAAGATCGCAAGGGCGGGGACCTGTTCCTTTTTACCCATCTCACAGTAGAGAGGTGTCCGTTTTTATTTATTTATTTATTCACACGTCAGGTCACAGGGAACGTTGGGAAGAGGCACGAGGAGGGCGGCGACCTCGAGCGACTATGGAGGACCCGTTGTACATCGCGTCGATTCCTTTTCGCGTAAGCACCACCCTGAAGCGCGCCCAGCAGCTGAACCGCTCCCTAAGTCGAAGGAGCATCATCAGTCTCACCCACTTCGCTCGTTGCCCACTCTGTCTCCGCTCCCTCCCGCTTGAGCTGCCGTCGCGTTCGTCCCACTGGCTGTATAGTGTATTCCGCACCTGTATTGTTTCCGTACGACTTTTTTTGGCCTCTTCGACCTATATTGGGCGAATTTTTGCATTCTGCTCCGGTCTGCATCCTGCACGTCTCTCACAGCTGGACGGCTTTAGCTTTGGGCCCGCTTCTGCAATCTGCATTCGGCATTCGGCATCTGTGTGTGTGTGTGTGACCTGTGAGTAAGTCCTAAGTGAGTATTCTTGATACGAAACCACGACGACACACTCGACTCGCATCGGTTGCCTCTATGAACGGCACAGTCAGCGACACTGCGACGTGCGAGACACCCGACACACATCACAGTCGGTCTCGCGGACACTCTGATCACTGTGTGCGGCAGGACGAGGAGAGGCGGCGCTAGACAGCCACAGACAGGCCTCAGGCGCTCTCGGTCTCGCGGAACTACCCTTTTTTCAAGAATTACGTGTCGGAGTGTCACAGCGTCACCCGCAAACAGAATGTTAATTGCGGCCAAGCACTGGCGCCAGAGCCCAGACCCGCCGCCGCTGCTGTCCCCCTCACCTGCACCATGAAAACTCCCGCCGCTACTCCCGGCTCCCGCCGCTGAGCGCTGTGCTGGCATGTGAATCAACATACAGCTAGAGACTCCTATGATATTCCTTCCCTCCCTCCTTGCCAAGTCCGGCACGACGCGAGCTCAATGCCCCGCTCCTCGCACACCGACACCAGCTCGGGCGGCTTGCGGTCCGCAGTGAGAATCTGCGCGGAGCACGCGCAAAGAACGCGTCAGATTCGGCCGCGGAGGTGTGTGTGCACATGGCTGTGTGTGCTTGCACACACCTTCAAGCTCGGGGCGGCCCCCACCTTGAGCGCGGCGGCGAGCGCCTTGAGCCCCTCGTTGCCGATCTGGGTGTGGTTGAGATACAGCCCCTCGAGTCGCGGGGCACTCCCCTCCTTGCCGAAGGCGTCGGCCAGCGCCTTGAGCCCCTTGCTGCCAATCTGGAGGGAAGAGAGGTCGAGATACTTGAGCCGCAGGGCGACCCCGCTCGCAATCACCTCCGCCAGCTGCGCCGCCTCCGCGTCGCCCCAGCCGAGCCCACGGTAGTTGAGCCACTTGGTCTGCCCAAACTGCTCCTCGAAGGCGGCCTCGTACAGCCGCTTCACGAGCGGCTTGTCGTCCTTGCCGTTGGTGAAGCTCTTCGTCTCCAGCTCCGCCGCGAACTGAGAAGGCAGCAGCGGAGGGCGCCGGCCGCCGCCCTTGACGCACTCGTTGATCAGGGAGAAGCAGCACCAATACTCCTTATCGTCACGCATCAGGCCGAGGTCAAGCGACTTCTTCCCGTCCTTGGTCAGGCTCGCCCAGGCGTTCTCCGTGTAGCACCAGCCGCGGTCAAAGTACTCGGCCACGTTGGTGCCCGTGACCCAGGCCACCAACGGCGAGAAGCAGCTGCTATTGTGGCCCGCCGGGAAGGAGGTGAGCCGCAGCACGGTCGTGTGCTGGTGGGAGTAGAGCGTGCCAAGGCAGCCCAACCCCTGCTTGAAGAGCGCGTTCTGCTCCTCGGTGCGCATGACGCCGTTGGCGGGGTCGGGGTGCTGGTGCAGCGAGAGGAAGTCCCAAAACACGCCGAGCCGCAGCCTGCCGTGCTCCGGATGGCGCAACAGGGCCTTCAGCGCCCTTGCGACGCGGCGGAGGTTGGCTCCGAGCGGGTCGGGGTGCTCCTTGGTCAGCCACGGGTACG